TAATGTGTCTTCTTTAATAATGGCTTCTATGTCATTGCTTACGTCATTCCTCCCGCCTCCGAAAAGACATGTTTTTGAATAATGTTTGCTTGTGTCATGGCTGACGTTAATCTTCCATGAATGGTGTTTCTTCTGTGTTTTCTGAACAGTGACTGCAATTGTGTCTTGGAGCATGCATGATATGTTTGCAAAGTTGTTTCTTGATATCATCGGGTAATTCAGCCAATTGATGAGAAAATTTTTCGAAAGGTTGTTCGAATGTTTTAATTGCTTTCATTGCTTCCGGAGTGATTTCATTGTCTGTTAAAGAGTAGATAATGAAAGTTTTACTAGCATAATTTACTCTGATTCTTGACCTTTGATCTTTACCGTTGCCAATGCGTGATGATGCTAAATAAACACCGGCAAGTGCAAAGATTAGATGTTCTTGTGTTGGGGATTCATGGGGTAGATCATCTTTTGTTGGTTTTGAGCCGTTGCTTATTCCCATGTTTGCAAAAGTAATACTTGGGACAATTAGTTGAGATTCTTCATCAAAAATTGGGTAGCTAGAATGCATTTTGATGAATAATCCTCTTTCTTGTTTTGCAAAGCGTATTTTATAATTTCTGATGATAGTTTGCACAGCAGAAGGGAATTCGCTGATGCAGTGTAGATTGGTGCCTTCTAGATAGATGGTGTCGATGAACCCATGAATAAAATAATCCCATAAAGTCATAGGATCTGATAAGTCGGCTAGGAAGACTGCTTTAGGACCTGGTCGTCTGGCTACTGGGTAAAAGCCCATCAGAGAATGGACTTCGGTGTATGAGATTAGGCTGTCCCATAATTCGGCAAATTTTTTGGCAGATGGTTTTTTCATGGCTTCTTTTCTTTGGTTGATAGAATGGATTCAAGGGCAATTTTCGCATTTAATTGGTTAAGGGATCTTGGGATGGATACAGGTTTTTGTGGTGTGAAGTTGGTCATAGGTTTTTGTGGTGTTAGGAGAACTATTTTTGAACATTCTACGTTATCTTTTATTACTGCTTTGTATGCTTCGTTGTATGCGGCTTCTGCTTCATTTTTTGTTTTGTAGCTTTTGTGAATGATATTTTTTCAAGAATATATGAACTGGCGATTCCCCAATTGTCATATACTCCTTTGTTTTCTCCGTTGAAAATCACGTACCATTTCTTTATATTTTTTGATCTGCTTGAAGTGGTGGATATTTCTTCTGGATTTATAGGTTGTTTTTCTGTCTTGAGCATTGTTTGTGGCTGACTATCATCGGATGAAATTTCTTGAATGTCTTCTTTTGGTTGCTTCGTTGTTGAACTGCTAGCTGCTTCTTCTTTAGGTACTGATTGAGATGATAGAATTTGTATTGTTTGTCGTAGTTGTTCTTTTTCTCGTCTGACTGCTTCGAGTTGTCTGACTAATGATGCTTCTTGCTCTTCTTTTTGTTTGAACTGGTGTTTGATTTGCTTCATGATTGCTTCCATTTCATATATCTGTGGATTGAATATTTGCGTCTCTTGGGTACCTGAATAATTGCTGAAATTGTTTGTTTCGAATGATGATATGAGAATTTTCATATCAATGTATGCTTTTGGTGATATATTCATATCACTGTATGCTTTTGGTGATATATTCATATCACTGTATGCTTTTGGTGATATATTCATATCACTGTTACTTTATTATTGTTTACTTCAGATGGTACTTTCATACCATTGTATGCTTTAGCAATGTATATTCCAGATAGATTAGATATGAGGTTTCCCTCAAGTTCTAATTCTAGTAATACTTTTTCCATAGGATTATGTACCTGCATCTGAATCAGAATCAGTTGTATATGCATAAATATCTATATCTGAATTTATATCTGAATCTTCTATGGGTTCGTATCCAAGGTCGTATGCAATTTTTAATATATTTGTTTCTTTTTCTTTTTTAGTCTTTTTCGGGCATTCATAAGCTTTGTGTCCTTCTTCTTGACATATCCAACATTTACAGTCTTTTTTATTCGATGGGCAATAATTTGTTTTGGATTGATATTTTTGTTTATATTGTTTTCTATTTCGGAAATATTTTCTTTCCCCTTGTTTATAATATTCTTTATATTTGGGTTTATAAGTTTGTTTTTTTTTCCAAATTTTCTTTTTACTTTGTTGTTTTTCTTTACAACCATATTGATTTACTTTGTTAGAAAGGATGTCACAACATAAATCAATTTTTGCATCTTGTGCTGTTTTTTGTTCTAAACATTTTTTCTGCATCCATGCTTTTAATATGCTTATTCGTGCTCCTAAGGTGTCTGCAACTTTATTTGTTGTAATGCTTCTTGGAAATCTTTATTACACTTTGGCTTACTAATGATGGTAATTTTTGATAGAACATATCTAATGCTGCCTTTTTTCTAATGGAATCTAAATTATAATAATGTTCAGAATATTCACATATAAATGGTTCTAAATAACACATATTACAAATTCGTAAATTAGTTAAATGCCATAGTGATTCTAATTGAAAAGCTTCTTTTGATATTTATCTTCAATTTGTTTTCCTATGAATTCCTGAATAAGACGGCTTAATACATTTTTAAATGTTTCCATAGCATCAGTGGTGGCTATCATCATCGTTTCGGTTTCATCAAGAGATGAAAGAAAACGATATGCGTTACCTTGTGTTTTATGAATGATATAATTAAGAAAATGTTTTGGGTGTAAATTTCTTAATTCTTCGGTTAACTGAATTTGTACTCCCATTTTATTACTCCATTCTTGAATTTTTGCTTCAGGATTTTGGTCACAATCAATAAAAAGAATATCTGAATTTGTTGGAAATGTAAATAATTTAGGTATGTATTGAGGAGGTATTTTTTCCCATTTGTTTGTTTTATTTTTAACCATTCCTTGTCTATATAAAAAATTTTCTTCTAATGAAGGTGGTCCATAAATATATTGACTTTGATAATCATCTTCAACATATGATTGTTTTCGTTTTAATCCAAAATTGTTTTGTGAATCTCTATATGGATTTGAATAAGGGTTTTCATCATCTGAAGAAAAATCATATATTACTTCTGCGTCATTATCATCTGAATTATTTTCTATTTCTATATTATTTTCTTGAGTTTCAGATGGAATTTCTAGTGCTGCAAATAATTTAGTTAGTGTTTCTACTTTTTCTTGTAAAGTTTCCATATATCGTGTGTATTAAAAATAAAATTTTTAGTTTCTTTTTTCTAGTGAAGTAGTTGTTTTTTCTATCATATTTAACAAATTAATTTTGTTATTTTATCTTCAAGGTTTTTTATTTGTTCTTGTTTCCAATTTATACTATTATTTATTATATGTATTGCTTCAATATTAGATATACAATTTATCATTGATATGTCAGAATCTATTTTTAAGTCTAAAAGAAATTTTTTAGATTGTTTCAATGTTTTACGAAAAAATTTTAATTCTTGTTTATTTGTATCTAAGCTTGAAAAACTCATGATTATAATTTTATAATAATAATGGTTTAGTTTCGTTTTGGATTTAAAGTTACGATTAAAATTTTATTTAAAAATAGTAGTGGTAATTATAATAATGTTTAAAAGACATAAGTTTTAAAATACAAATAGTTTTGTTTTTAGACGACGTATTTGCTTATAACGGATTTTAATACTAGTTCTTATGAAATATCTAACATCATGAATATGATTATTGTTTAAAATCGAACCTTGATTATTAGGTTTGTAAGAATCCTTGAGATTTTTCTTAGAATTATTTATAGATTCTTGGATTTGCTGTATTCTTAAAATAATAGTTCTATTAGGAACGCAATTCATTAAAATTTTGTTAGACATAAATATATATTTCAAACATGAATTTGATTATTAAAAACGAGTATTATTTTAATAAAAATTTCAAATTTTGTAGAATTAATAGTTAGAATAACTCGGAATGAGATTATCATGGAGAAATAATATAACAATTGAATAGAATATCTTTAGACATATTTATGATATTAAATCTTCTTTTGATAATTTTTAATTGTTTTAATAACGATGATTTTTTGAATATGGGTACTTGAAAATAATGATTATTTATTTTCATGTTTATGATGTTTATCATTTTTATGATGTTTATCATGTTTATGATGCTGCATATGCATATATTCTTATTAACGATAGAATATGCAAACTAATAATAAGAATAATAAGAACGTTACTTAGCTCTGATACCAAATTGAAATACATGGCGGAATTAATAAAATTAAGAAAGAATATACCTGAATGATGCGTCGGAATGGATTGACGATGGATTGATTATATGGGTTTGATATGTTTATATGAATATATGGATATGTTTGGATAGGGTTCTGCTATTCAGAAATAGACGAGCTATTTCAACAGAAGAAGATTGAGAACAACTTAAATCTTAAACACTCAATTTTAGCTTGTCTATTCCATATGGGCAAAGGCCCTATTTATAGGCTCAAAGGAGCCGAGTACAATAATAAAACTGCAATCGGTTGATTGCAATATGACAAACCTATTTACATTAATGCCCATAGAGTATTGAAGGTCTTACATACTTTATTTTACTATGCTACCGACACTTTGCATACAATAATTATAAAAGACAAAACCATAAATAATTACAAATTCCTTTCCATATTGAAAGGCCACATGTCTTCAATAACATGTCTTCTTTAATAATGGCTTCTTATGTCATTGCTTACGTCATTCGGGGGGAAGAAAGACTATCACAAAAAAAACTTTGCATTCGTCCGATTTAAGGGAGCTGGAGATATCAAACAACTGGAGGCAAAATTACAAGGAATCAAGTGCGGAGATACTACACTTCCTGTAAACATATCGAAACACCAGCGAAAAGTACATCAAAAATTACCGAACTACACTATCCCTACTATTAGGAGACAACAAACAGGGACCGTCCGTCCCACGAAAAGATGGTATCAGGGACAATAGATCATTTACACAGGTCATCTCGGGATATAAGGAAATGCAACCAAAACCTCCATCGCCTCCTATCACATTGAACTCGAGAACATGCATGAAAACCTGGCTCAGTAAAAGTACGTTGATCGGGGAGGCACACAGTCTTGACCACATCGGTAGCTTACCTGCAACAATACTAATAAGCGATAACACCAAATATCTTGGTGGTCTCAACATTGCCATCCACTTCGGGTCCTCTGTTGAGGCCAAAGATTTCCTGGAGGATGAGAACAGATGGAGAGATTGGTTCAGATGGATGGTAAAAAGTGATCAACAAGAACTCAGATACGAAAGAATTGCTTGGTTAAAGATCATTGGTCTACCCCTAAAGCTTTGGGATGAAGAAAACTTCAACCTAATTGCAAGTAGGTTTGGTAGAGTTATCAATCCCTTTGATGGTATTGGTAATAGGAGGGATTACTCTATGGGAAAAGTGGGGGTTCTCACTTCAGAAAAGAAATGGATAAATGAAGAGATCACGATCACTGCCGACGATGTCAAACATCAGATTGGGGTCGTCGAATATACGGATGACTGGTCTCCTTTCAAACCAGTTCCATTTGATAAAGTTGACGATGATTCAGATGACGAGGGTGATTAAGACTCAGACGTAGATGTTGATGACACGGATGCAGTGTCAGATACATGGATGCCGGCGGAGTCAAATGAACCAGAAGAGGGTGAATTCCGGCCTGACCCCCTGCCGGTAAAGGTCAACTTGAACGGAGGCGATGGTACGCATGCGGTCCTCGATAGTGGTAGAGAAGACGAAGAGTATTTGAAGGTTCACGACGTAATTGATGGAACCGAGAATGGATTAAATGCAATGGCTCCAGGACCAAATATTGAGATGACGGCTGAAATACCTAATACATCAGGTTTGCTTAAAAAGATTGATTGTAACACGTTCACATCTATGGACCCACCTCCATCCACAACGGCCCCACTCAATTTCGGAAACATTGGGCCTTTCTCCAACTCCTTCCCTTTGGGTTGCTTTGGACCATTCCCAAATAATAACACTCCAACCTTTACCTCCCGGCAAGCCCAACAAGACTCCTTATCTGGAACCGAATCCAACAGTGGTGGACCCAAATTAAAAAAGAGGAAGAAAACCAAATCAAATCAGCGTATCATCCTTCCCCTTGCTCCCCCGACATCGGTTCCACATGTTACTTCGAACAATATAAACTTAGATCTAAACGAAAACCCCACCAACCACTCATCTAATAGTAATGAAAGTCAGGATGGCAACTTTTCGGAAGAAATTAGACAAACGACTGAGATCGGGACAGCAATTGGATTTCATATTACTGCACCAACTCTCGCAATTTCTGTGGGCGATAATGGTGGTCGAATTAGTGATAAATGAATTGTATATCCCTAAACATCAGAGGTATTGGCGAGGAGGCGAAAGTGAGATGGGTAAGAAGACTTAAAAACTTACATAAGGCGACATTTGTGGGTATTCAAGAAACACAGTTAACAAATTACACAAGCATTGACGCAGAAGGATGTTGGGATTCTTCTGATTACGATTACGAAGGAGTGGACTCAAGTGGGAGGTCTGGGGGTCTTATGTCGATTTGGGATATAAATTGTTTTCAGAAATCTGAAGTAATCCAATCGAGGTACTTTCTTATTATTGTTGGCAAATGGATTGGTGTAAATGGTAAGACCATTTTTGCAAATATTTACGGGCCCCAAGCACCCAGCGATAAGAAAAAAACTATGGCATCAAAAGGGCAAAAGCAGGTAACTGGATTGTATTTGGCTATTTCAATGTGGTAAGGAGATCGGAGGAAAGATTTAATTCTCAATACTGCCCTTCGAGTGCCTTTGAATTCAATCAATTCATATATGAGGCTGATTTACATGATTTTAGTATGGGGTGAAAGATTCACGTACATGGGCCGGGTCGATGCCAAACTGAGTAAGTTAGATAGATTTCTTGCGTGCTCTAACTTCCTATCTGCCTTCCCTTCACTCTCTGTTACCGCCCATCCCCGTGAGCTTTCTGACCATCGTCCTATCACAATCATCTCAACGGAATCTGATTATGGTCCTCCTCCTTTCAAATTATTCAACTCGTGGATTCTTAAATATGGATTCGAGCAGATGGTCAATGAAGCTTGGAATAATTTCGCTGGATATGGTAACGCTGATAGATACCTGGCTGCCAATTTTCGTTTTCTCAAAAAAGAAATCATAAAATGGAAAAAAGTCACAATGGATTGGGCCAGCATTCTCGGGTGTGAGGCGGGTACTCTTCCATTTAATTATCTTGGAGTGCCCGTAGGAGCGAACATGAATCTTGGAAAAAATTGGAGACCAATAATTAGAAAATTCCAATCTAAGTTGTCTAATTGGAAATCTAAAACGTTGTCTTTTGGTGGGAGGCTCACATTGATAAAGTCGGTGTTAGGAAACTTGCCTACCTACTTTATGTCACTTTTTAAGGCACCATCAGGAGTGTTAGAGGAACTTGAAAAAAAGAAGAAGAAGGTTTCTATGGGGTGGCCAAGAAGACAAAAAGAAAATTCACTGGGTGGCATGGGATAAGGTGATCGCCCCCCAAAACATCTGGTGGGCTTGGAGTTGGATCCATCAAGGCTTTAAACTTAGGTCTGATTGTTAAGTGGTGGTGATGATTGAAATCAGACAGTCCTAATTTATGGAGTCGGGCTATTATTGGTATTCACAATCTCAATGGAAATCTCAATGGAAAGCCGAAAGAGAACTTAGCAAATAAGGCTACAAGTGGAGTATGGAACAATATAGCTAATGCAAAAAAGTCATTACAAAAACTGGGCATTGAACTAAAGGATATATTTAAACACGAGGTCAAGTCAGGCGAAAACACTTTATTTTGGCTAGACACATGGTTGGGTTCTTGTTCGCTTAAAGAAAAATATCCTTCTCTGTTCAATCTCGAAACTAGAAAAAGATGTATGGTGGCTGCAGGATACATGCAGATGGGTGGTCATGGGATTGGAAATCTTGTCCCAACGCAAATGACTTGACTAATGACATAGCAAGCATACAACGTGAACTTGACGGTGTGCAACTAGCTTCGGGGTCGGATATTTGGAGATGCAAATTAGATTCCAGTGGACGCTACACGGTTAATTCCTTACGGAAATTGATATAACAAACCCCGAATCCACACAGGTGAATTGGTGTAAGCAAATTCCGTCAAAAGTTTTATGCTTCATTTGGAGAGCTATGCAGAACAAAATCCCATCTGCGGTAGCTTTAAGAAGGAGAGGAGTTGTGATTGATACAATTTTGTGCAGTTCCTGCATTGATGGTATTGAATGCACTGATCATTTACTAGTTGGGTGTCCGTATGCGTGCATGATCAGAGATCAGATTTTCACTTGGTGTGGTGTGCAGCAAACATCCCTCAACAGTGTGGAAGACCTTCTAAGATTTGCAGCTACACGGGGTGGAAGTCCGAAGATGAGTAAGAGGTTCACAGCAATATGCTACGGTCTTCTTTGGAGTGTATGGAAATATAGAAATGAAAGGTTGTTCCGACAAGTGTTTACTAATCCAGATAAAGGGACAGAATATGTCAAATCGATGGTATTCTTTTGGCTAAAACACAGGGGTAAATTGGGAAACTGTAAGTGGGAAGAATGGTTGCACTACCCCTTTAGTTCTCTATAACTCATTCAATTGTTCTGTAATGTGTAATATGTATTTGTCCCCCTAGCTTCTTACTAGGCTGGGCCTTGTTTCAATATAATTGTTGTTTCAAAAAAAAAAAAAATATGTCAATGCAAAAGGGAAAAATAAAGATTATTCAATCGAAATAAATCTTGATATTAAAGGCTGCCATCGAGATTTAAAAAAAAATTAATGATGTGTTGGTCTCCTTTTGTATCTACCGAGAATGAGAGAAGTAAGTAGAGGAAAGATATTAATATTTAATTGGTGGCTACACTCTTGTGTTTATATCTACCAAGAAGTCTGTGAGAGGCAAAAAGAAGTTCTGAGTACTATTATAATGGAGGTACTATATCCAAAGAATTTCTTTTAAAGAACAAGGAAGGCCACAAGTGTGAAGTGTCTATGATTCAAGCAATGGTCATTTGTGTGTAATTATGGAGAAACGAGTATGCAGGGAAAGTAATATGGGAACATTTCTTTATAGCTCACATCTAGATGAATAGACATATGGATGGTCATTGGTCAAAGAGTGCTAAGAAATGTCCGGTCCATAATGTGAAAATCTGGTTCACGTGACACTCTTTCAAACCGGTCCCAGCTCTTCACCTTTAGAACTTGCCACATCATCTGTCGGTCCCACACTCCTAATTCTCCTTACCTGCATTTTGGTTCGATAGCTTCGAACTCCTCTTTTTGGTTAATGCAAGCTTTTATACAAAAGACAAAGAGCTATACCTAACGGTTATCCGGATGACTTTTTACACCGCCGATCTTAATATTATCTAGTGGTTTCTCGTTTTCCTATCACCCATTGGATCTTCGCTTTAAATTCTACAGCTGCCTTTGTCTATGGGTTATTAGTTCTATGATGAAGATTTTTCATTCTCTCATACATATTTTTGATGAAGACCTTGTACAAATGTGGAGGGGAGACCGGTGTTAAAAATCCTCATATTTTTTTTATATTTTTTTATTCATCAGTCTAAACATTTAGGGGAGAATTGTTAGATATTAAAATGTTTGACGGATGAACTTTTATTTTTGACCTAATAGTTTTAGGGTTTTTCAGATTTTTAAACCCTAGGACTATAAATAGTTTAGGTTATTTTTTATTTTGTGTGAGCCTCTTTTTCACTTAGAATTTTTGTTTTTCTCATTGATAGAGAAAGTGAGAGTTCATCTTTTTCATGTGAGGTTTCTCCATTGTAATTTAGATCTGATGATCATATAAATGAAGAAATATTTCACTGATTTCTCATTGATAGAGAAAGTGAGAGTTCATCTTAATTTCCGTATTGTCATCTCATATTGTGTGAATCTGGGTTCCTACACAAATTCCGCAACACTTTTCTTTAAAAGGTTACCCTGATTTTCAAAATAAAGCATAAACAAAATCGGTCTTTTCTATCCGTGAAAATTGGGATGTCACATAAATGCTGATCTACTCTTTCAAAATAACTTGTATTCTCAGGAAACTAGTAGACAGGTACGTGCACTGGGATTCAGAAGATGGAGTATTAGTAGCTTCATGTCTTGTTTTGTTATTTACTTTTGGAGTCTATCTTATGTGAATCACATACTTTGTAAACACTTTCATATTAATGAAATGGTTGTTTGTTACTTTGATTACTATGATGCATGTGTTGTGATACTAAACATGACGTCCTCCGCCCCCGAACGTTTCCGCCGTTCTGGTTTGGGGGTGTGACAGATTGGTATCAGAGCATTATTTATAGTGAATTAAGTATATCAACTTATAAAAGATATACAACTATAAATGCAGTGGGGCCGAAGTGCTCTGACTAAAAGTATATTTCAAAAATATAACAATATTTTATAAAAGTATACATACATGCTTATACATATATACATACTAGAACAAGTATCACAAGAAGAACATAACAGAAGTATTTAAAGGTTGAACAC